TGAATTTCTGCAGCAATTCTGTGCTTCCATTATTTTCTTTCTCTTGTATTTTTCACTTTCATTGAAATTCCAAGTTCAAATAATTTTAAAAGTGATATTGGAGAAAATCACGGAAAATCATAGATCCCTCATCAGAATTTTGATTACATTTATTTTTATTTGATAAAGGAAAAAATACTTTTTTTCTTCTCCTCTTTTTTCCCCTTCTATTTCTTCTCCTAATTCGCGCAAACAGTAAGTAATCGCAACAGTAAGCAATATAATAAGACAAAAGAGTACTTTCAGATTGACCGGTATAAATTTTTTAGTTTTCTGAACTTTTTATTACAATAAATAATTGAACAATTATGGTTTAATAAATATGTAATTAACCATGATTGTTAGTCGTTTTTTTGAAAAAAAATTATCTTTCAATTTATTACATTTGAAATATTTGAAAGAACGATAATTTTTTTTTAAATAATTTCAACTTATAAAAGTGCTAAGTGGAAAAGGAAAAAATGTGAGTTAATGAGTGTTAAATGATAAAAAATAAACAAATTATTTACACTTTATACATTTCTCATCATTCTACCCTTCTTATGATTACTTTGATCATTAGCTTAGGACTGGAATATGATTAAAATTTTTTTGTTTATTTGCTATATATTAGTTTTTTTATGAAATTCGCTTGAAAATTTTACTTTTTCAATATCATTGCATAATAGCAAAAATGATTTTTTCTCGCAGTTAGAATTTATTAAGGCAAATGAGAAGATATTTAAATTATTTATTTTCAATGATCAATAATAACTGCTCCTCTATCATTACTTATTAAGTTTAACTTCTTGAGATAAGCTTTTTCGCTTCTTTTTCCAAGAAAACACCAATTAAATAGGCAAGGAAAAGGCACAAAAAATTTTGAGACACATTTTTTACTAACTTTTAACATATAACTAAATCTTTGAGTAATTATTCATTTGTTTAACTTACTCGCTATTTTACTCATTTCTTTATATATCATGAGCTATTATTAGCTTCCTCATTACTTTACTTATTCTTTTATATTATAAGCTTCTACCTATCATATATAATTTTTTACTGTAATTTTTTTTTTGCACATTTTTTCACCGTAATATTTTTTTTTTACTTGTAATTTTCTTTTTTCTTCTGTATGTAAGTGTTAATTTCTTTCAATACTTTTATAGATGTGATGATGAAGTAAATTAAATTCCTTAAAAAAATACAGTATGAATTTATTATTGATCTGTTGCTTACATTTCAGGTTGGTTTATTTGAAATATTTCAATATCTCACTGCAAATATTTTATAATCATCATTCGTTTTTTATATTTGCAATTTTTTACTGGCTGAAAATATTTTCAATCATTTATTTTTTTTTATTCTTTTACCAATATTCTTCATTTGTCGAAATTTGCTGCCTAACAAACGAAATGTATTTTTTGCAAAATTACAAATCAATTTTGGGGAGAAATCATTTCTCCGAAGTGCTTATTTATTTTTTCAAATTCATAATAAACGTTGAAGTTTGAAGTTATTGTCAAAGGTTTGAAAAATTTACGATTCAAAAATGGTCATAATTTCTTGATATTATATCAATCTGCTCGTTCCTTTCTATTGCCCCTTTTATATTTCTTTTTTCTTTTCATTTTTCTATCAAATGCTTCAATGAGATACTTCAATTTGATAAATGACTTTTAAATATGTACTTAAAAATGAAATCAATATTTTTCCTCTTTTTTCAATGGTACAGGAAGTCGGCCGGGCAAACAAGGAAGAAAAGGGGAAAATGCCAAGAAGCAATATATATTTTTTTTTAAATGGCCTCAAATGTTTTTTTTTTCTGCTTTAAAGATATGCGAAAAATTTTTCCTTCAATTTTAAAAATTTGCAAAATATTATGATGGATGTGTTGCTATTGATTTCTAAAATATTCAATTGTAAAATTTTATTTATTTTCTCAGTAGTTTTATAATCTTTTTTGAAGAAAAAAGGGGTAAAAAAGATCAAACTTTTAGTGTGAGTAATAAAAAAAAAGCTATCACTTACAATGCAAAAATCAAATATTTGCAGTATTCGCCAAAAAAAAAAAAATCATGAAATTATTTCAACTAATTTCAAAAAATTGGAACAAAAAAAAGAGAAGCAAAAGAATTTATCAAAATTTTAAACATATCATATTTAGCTTGGTGGTAAAGATGGTCGCATAAAGAAAAGGATAAACTAAACGTTGGTTGCAAAGAAAGGCATCATAAAAATAAAAAATAAAAAAATGCTACCAAAAGTATCGGTAGTTATGCTACCAACAACAACAACAACAACAATAACAACAAAAACAACAACAACAACAGCAATAGCAACAGTAAAACTGTTACTTTTGGTATATCAAATATGATACCAGTAAGAGATATCAGTAATCGGAAATATCCGGAACAAATAAATCGACCGTCATGAAACGGAGAAAAACTGGTCCAGTGTTAAAAAAATGGGCCTTATTGAATGCAACAAAATTGTCCTGCTCAAACTTCATCTTTCTTCTCTCTTTGTTTGCTTTCGTCAAATCTGCATATGATGGTAAGATTATTTCTTATACTTTCATAATTTTTCCTGAAATCATATAACACATAAATAAATATTGCAATAAATATATGCAAATTAAAAAAAGAAAACAAAATTTGAAAATCCAACAAACTGGCACAATTCAATATATTTCTGTATTGGCTATTTATTTACTATCTGCTATTGCTGTAAATCAACTTTGATTTATTCCGACTTAAAAAAAAGAAAGAAAGAAAGAAAAATATTCAATCGACCATATGTATATTTTCAACTTAATTTTTTCATACTGCCTTTTCATTTTGCTTGCTTCCAGACTGGGAATATCAGAGTTATATTCAAGCTCTGGCGTGTAAGTTTGAAAAAATTTAAATTTTGCAAAATTTTAAATAACATAAATAGATTAATCAAATGAAATGATGAAAAATTATAATTGTAGCATGCTTTCTCCTCATTATTTCTTGCAATTACTTTATGAATAAATTTATAATGAAATATCATAAGATCAGGCTTAATCTGTTATATTACCATTTTGAAATTAAAAATTTCAATTTTTTTAAATTTAATTTCTTCATTCATTATAATTTAAAATTATTTTATTGCAGATAGTGCTAAATTAATAATTCGGCCCGATTCATCGACGGCAGTCGAAGATACGAGGGTTAGCTTCTTTTGTCGTGCCGATGGTAATCCATTACCCACAGTAATTTGGAAGAAAAATGGTCTGTCAATCTCCGATTTAAGGTATTATTTAAATGAATTTAATAAAAAAGAAATTCTTTTATTTTTTTGTTTAAAAATTTATTTTGCCAAATGCAAATTAAAACAAATATATTTAGTGTATTATGTGATAAAGTAATAGAATGCTGAGGAAAACAACTTACAAAAATACATAAAATTATGATGATAATAATAATGAAAACGATACGAAAAATAATAGCAAACTGTTTATATTTTACAATTATTATCATAACTACGATGGAATTATGATTGCAACATTTTTACAATGATTATAATCATAATATAACTATGATTATATTCTTTACAGTAAATTTGTTATTAATAAGTTTTACAGTCATTTAATTGTTTATAATTCTCTGAATGTTTTCTTTATTATTATTATTACTAACTTTTTAGATATTCAACAAAGACCCTTTCAAATGGTTTGAGTACATTGCGAATTGATCCGGTTAAATTAAATGATGCAAATTCAACAATAAGCTGTACCGCTGATAACGGAATTGGTAGTCCGGTTATCGCTGATGCAATGCTTACCGTTCTTTCATCTGGTAAATTTTAATTATAATAATTTTTTAAATTTAGAAAAAATCAAGCATAGAAGGAGTATTATTTGAAAGATATTAATTAATTAAATAGAATAGAAATAATTACATTTATTAGAGCCTTTTATTTATTTCAGATGAATTACCAGCCGGATTTCCGGTAATTGAAGCTCATCCAGTTTTAAAATCGGTTGAACAAGGTCGGACAGCACACGTATCATGTCGGGTACGTGGTGATCCTCGTCCAAAAGTATTATGGTTACGTGATTTAATGCCTGTTGATATTCGATCTAATACGCGATATTCCGTTTCTACGCTTGGTAATCCAGGTATTTCTTTCCTTCTTTCTTCCGTTTTTTTTTTTTTGGTTTCTCTAATTCATATTAAAACCTAAGTATTAGTAGTAATAACGATTTAAATTAAATACCAATACTGTGCTGGACAGATTATTATTATTAAAAATGTGTGTAGCTCAAAAATTTTTTTTTATCTTCAATTTTATATTCTTTCCTCAGCAATCATTTGCGGTATTTTCTAAAAGCATGGGGCTTTTCCTCTTTTTTCATTTTCTTTAATCTCAATTATATTTCATCCTTTAACAGATACATATACTAGGGTTTTTGGTTTTTTATTTTTGCTTTCTTTTTTTTTCATCTGTGCGCAACAATTTGCTCTATATAACGATTTTTTTAAGTCAAAATTAAATTACAATTAATAAGGGAATAAAAAAACGCATATTTTTTAATGGTATTTTTATAACTGATATAACATTCGATAAACTGACAATTAATAAGTATTATCAACATCACTTTATTAGGAAATATGCAAAATGAAGACATTTTTTCTTGGTTATATAGCATATTTTTTAGAGTTTTTTTTTTCCCTCATAAACACAATATGTGGTGGATTTTTTTATTTCTAATACATATATCAAATATATTTAATAAACAAATTTTGAAAAAAAAAATTTTCGTGAATATACAAAAACAAAAATGAGCAAAATATAAATGTATGCTAGCAAAAACACGAAAAATAAATTCAAGATAGTAAATTGTTACATAAATACTCGTTACTTCTCCTTTTGAAGGATGTATTTCAATTACATACAATAATCGAGATATTCTAATGATATCGTTTCAGTGATATGCTGAATTTATTTTCAAAGTTATATCTTTAATATTTTCAATGTACTGAGAATTATTGATGTTGCACATTCTTAAATGAAAAAATTCATTAATTATAATATTGTATATTTACATTTTTCCTGTTACATTTGTAGTACTTCTTTCTTCTTTTATCTTTCAAATTAGAAATAATTAAAAGTTATAAATACAAAAGTATGCTGACACCATGATTGCAAGAAGTGAAAAAAAGATGTGAAATCAAACAAAAAAATTATTACCAAATTAGTTGCAAAAAAACTTATTTTGATCGATAATAAATTAAAATGTGCAATTATAGTGATGGTATTTAAATTTCAAATATATGTCTATATCTAAAATAATCATTCTACTAATTTCTAAATTATCCAATTTCTATATTCCATATTAAATTTTTAGGACAAACGCATATGATTTTTTTATTTAAAAATAACTCATCGTAATTAATATTTTCTTTAATGCAAAAATAAAAATCATTTTCAGTTTCGAATAAAACACTTCCGAAATTCTTTACTTTCCTTTCTTATGCACATTTCCGTAATTGAACTTGCTCCTCTTTTTGGAAAATAGAAAAATTTATGTATTTTAAAGAAGTAGGGAAAAAATGAAAATTTTGAATTTTAGGTTTTCGATTGAAAGCAATTGGTAAGATTTAGCAATATATGTATGTGTTATATATGCTACCAAGAAAAAATAAAATAAAATAAAATAAACTAGCATGTACACATTCACACCAGCTTGCTATTTTTTGACCTATGTATTTCT